GATTGGAGAAGATATTGCATCAAATATGTGTGGCCTGTGATTTATCTCCAATAGTTATCTCCAATTGCCTTCTTGCCTCCCTGGACATAGGTTATTTCATATGCCACACAAGGCAATGCGGGCCCCTAAACAGGAACATACAGAGATTAACATTTGGAGGAGTGAACTGACTAATTTTGGGAATAACTGGTGAGGACTTAAATCTATTTCCAGAGCTGACAAGATGGTGAGAGGTGTTCACTAATGTTCGATCCTCATGTGGGGAACAATGATATTCTCAGTCCACACAGAATTAACTTTTATTTCTTTTTTTACTTTGCTCTAACAAAGTCCTCTACGGGAGTAGTAGCATTGGTTTTTCTCTGCAGTGCTAACTATCTTTGTTTTTCTAGGGAATAAATACCTAAAAATAATTTAATGAGCCTCAAAGTGAGGTATGGGCCTAATCCACCACTATTGACCTGAAATAGTTCATGTGCTGGGGAGAAGTAAACACGTTACTTTCCACTTAGGCACAGACAGAGCTCTTTGTCATCACATTTTATTATGGTTTTTGGAGAAAGGAAAATAAAAACAGAACACGTGTCAGTATTCATTACTAACTTCTACAATTAATATTTTAGGAGGTTTTATGCTATAAAAACATACTTATTTTTGGAGAAAAACAGTAATGTGTAAAGTGAAAAGAAAAATTCTACAGTGTATCACCCTACCCATCCTTAGAGGCAATTACAGTTAAAAGTTTCAGTCCGCTTTTCCAAATATCTTTCTATGTATATATATATTTTTTAACTTTTTTTCATCATTATTTTTAATTGACACACAATAATTGTATTCTACAGTGTATCACCCTACCCATCCTTAGAGGCAATTACAGTTAAAAGTTTCAGTCCGCCTTTCCAAATATCTTTCTATGTATATATATATTTTTTAACTTTTTTCATCATTATTTTTAATTGACACACAATAATTGCACATATTTATGGAGCATGGTGTGATATTTTGATACATGAATGCAATGTGTAATGATCAAATCAGGGTAATTAGCATATCCATCACCTGAAACAATTACCATTTCTTTGTGTTGGGAGTATTCAAAGTCTTCTCTTATAGCTATTTAAAAATATAAGATGTGGAATCAAACGAAGTGTCCATCAACAGATGAACGGATAAAGAACATGTGGCATATTCACACAATGGAATAGTATTCAGCCATAAAAAAATGAAGTCCTATCGTCCAAAGCAACAGGGATGAATCTGGAGGACATTATGTGAAGTGAAGTCTGCCGGGCACAGAGGGAGAAATACCACATGTCCTCACTGATATGTGGGAGCTAGGAATGCTGATCTGATGGAAGTAGAGTACTATAGTGGTTACTAGAGGATGGGAAGGTAGAGGGGAGGGGAGGATAGGAGAGGCTGGTTAGTGAATGCAAAATTGCAGCCAGATAAGAGGAATAAGTTCCAGTGAACACTAGTGCTCTGTGGGGTGACTATAGTTAACAATTTATTGTGTTTTCTATGTTTATTTTTAAAAGATATATGTTAGTTGCTTAAAGACACTGTTTCGTATGATAGCTGTTTTGTTGTTTAAAGTCAAAGTAAAGCAGTCATAGCATCACTGTTAAATATTTATATATGAGAGGTCTTCAAAAAGTTCATGGAAAGATGCATACTACCTTTTCATTTTATTTTTCAACAGACTTTTTTTAAAGTACCCTCATATAACGACTTGAGTCTTTCTCAGTTATGAGTAGAAGTGTTATTATAATTTATGTATCATAAAAACACTTATAATTAGTATTTATAAGTGTTAGCACAAAGACGAATAGTACTTAAATGACATCTGTGGTCACAATCAATTTTTTATTACCTATAATTTATATCATGCTTCTTTAAATGCTAATAATAAAAAAATGTCACACAAGTCTTCTACCTTGTGTGTATTACTTTTTGCTTCAAACAACTGGTTATTTTTTGTCTTACTGAATATTTACATTTTTGCCTAGAGAGTTCTTGTATTCTTTCTTTCTTCCTGTATTCTTTTAGGATTGTCCAGTGGCAAAACTTTTGTATCACTGAAAAATCTGAGAAATGAACTGTTTTATGCTTATAGAAAAAAATTTAGTGGTCTATATCTCAATCAAGAATTTTCTAAAAAAATGTTAATTTGAGATGCAGGGATATCAAATGCTTTATTTATCTTTTAACAAATGCCTATATAGCACTTACTACATGCCAGATGCTGTTCTAATACTCACAACATCATGCATTAAGGACTGTTATTATCCCATTTTACAAAAGACACTGAGGCCTAGAGAGATTAGCTTTGTGAGATCACATGGTTGGGAAGTAGAGAAGTCGGGATTTGAACCCAGGGAGTCAGGCTTCAGAGTTTATCAGCTTAACCCCTACATTTTGCTGCTTTGACATATGGAAGCCCGGTCACTTACAATAGACACATACATTAAAAAACTCCTCATTTATGAAAAAAATTGCCATGCCATTAAATAGCAAACTTCCTGCTGCATTTAAAATCCTTTCCAATTTCCAGTTACTTCATTACACAAAATTTGGGGGAGAACATATGTCACATCTGTTGCTTACAGAGAGGCAGATTACTATTGCCAAACTACCATCCTCTTCTCCAGGCCAACTCTCTCCACTTAGGTAATGATAACTCCTCTGAGCCCATTTCTGTATATCTTAGGTGTCTATAACATTCAATAGATTTTTGGAATACATTTAGCATAAACTTGGTAGTATTTTTACTTTTCAGCTTGAGGAAACCAAACTTTCATCCCATATTAGTAAAGTGGCTACTTCAGAATTTTTGATTTAACAAGCTTTGTCTGATAGTTTGAAAAAAAAATAGGCAACAGGCAGCTTAACTTTTTTATTTCCCCTTCACATTTTTGATTGCTATAATTGCTTTAAAATGTCACCAAACTGTGTTGTGCATATCATGCATATAGGATTTATCTGCTTATGATCCAAAATGATTGGGCAGGAAGGTTTATTAACTATCTTTCTGTGGTTTCTATAAACACTTGAAAAAAATTCCCCAAGAACTTTTTTGGGGATTGCAGAGTTTGACTGGTTCCGAGATGTCCTGAAGTTCACACAGTGGGGGAGATTTGCTTTGTAAACCACCTACCAGGCTTAGAATGCTCCAGTGGTGGAAGTCCAGAGCAATTTAAGACAGGCGTTGGGCATTAGTCACGGGGTTAGAATAGCTGTCCATTACTCAGAAAGGACAGTTGGACTCTGGGTTGCTGGTATTTTGGACACTATTTTTATAGTTAAGGAGTTTAAAATAGATAAATCCCAGTTATAACTGCTCTTTTCCCTCCTGGCTGATGTCCTTCTCATGGGATGCATTCTCCCAGCGGCACGAATGTATTAATAGTTCAGAGAAAAAGAATTAGATGTTTGGATTTTTTTTTTTTAAATGAGAAAATGTTCATTAAAATCTGAGAAATTTTATTTTTCCAGTCGAAGACTTGGAAACTATTTTCTCTCTCTAGTCAAATACAAATAGGTGGAAAATCTTCAACTATGTAAATTAAAATTTGAGGACCTAATTCTAGCTATAAATTCAATGGCTTTAATATTGGATGCTGAGCCTACCCAGTAAATCAGTGTGTATGTCAAGAGTATTTGGAAGTTCCTCTGTTACAGAT